CCCGCCACGCCCCGCCCCGCGCCACGCCCGCTGCACTTGCACTGAGCTTTATGGGGCGGACCGTGGCGGGGCGACATCGGATCCGCCAATAACCGTCTGAATGCGCGGCTCATTTGGGCCCTTCCGCCGCCGCTGTGTGTTATTTACTCTGAATAATGGGAGTAGAAAGCAGCGAGATGCGTCGCGTTAATTGCGCCGCCCGGGAGCAGCGCGGTCGGGTCGGGACGGTGCCGGGTACCGCACGACGGCCTCTTAGTGAGAATTACATGCGGGAACAACTATTGAAAAGGAAATAAAACTTCCGCAAAAAAGTTATTTAAAATTTGTTCTACGTAAATTTTCACTTTTTCACAATTTTCACCATCATTGTTTCGAAAATTTCTAGTAATGATTCCTCAAATGTTAAAAATATTCAAATTCTTTACATTTTTTGGAATTTTTACACATTTATTCAGACGTGAAGGGGGTGCTTGGACAACCGCCGATGATGGGTACAGGCGGTGTAGTACAAACAAGCCATCATCTGAGCCGCGTGCCAGCTGGCTGGGGGTGAAGCAAAAGGCTCCCATAAAAGCCCGCCAAGTGTTGCTCTAAAGCTACTCTTTTAAGACTCTTCGGGACAGTAAATAAGTATAAAGTTACCTTGAATCCTCTTTGGCACGTGCTGCGGGGGGCGTTCGGTCAGGTGTGCGGGGCGCCGCTATATCGCCCCCCACTGCCCCTCCTCCGCGAGCTCGTGAGTCGCGGTTCCCTCGTGGGACCACCACCTCTGCGGCTTCCCTCCACTTGTAGCCTGCAACAAGATTATATCACTTGATAGATCCAATTGCAATTGATCGAGATTAATCAGGCTCGCCTCGGTAATTAGGCGATCGCGCGATCGCTGTTTTTATTTCGACCCAAATCAGATATGGGTATTTTAAGTGCGATAAAGATCCACGTTGAAAAAAAAAGACTTCTCTCCGCGTGCTTCTAATTTACGATTTTCCAGCTGAAATGTTTTCGAACCAGTTTCCGCCCTTGGAAAAATAGTGCGCTATCAGAAAAAAGGCTGGTGTGTTGCCACCCTTTTTTTTTCTGTAAACAACGGAAAAACAAACACGCGAGAAGCAGTAAAAAGTTGATACGCCGTTCACTCACGTAACGCTGGGCTGTGCTCTACTTTCCGCGTGATACGCGCGACGATATCCGCGAAAGGCACACAAGAGTGTGGAGGAAGGGGGCTCATGAGGAGGGAGAGGCAGAAAAGAGTCGCGGTGGACGCGGGACACTTTCACGGCTTGCCCGGGGGCTCTCTGCCGCCGCAGCAGCTTGCTCATCACACGTTTTGTGCCTCCTGAAAACTGGAAAAGGTGGAATTTTTCGTATTTGAAAGTGTGAAGCGGATAGCGTGGTGCGTGCCGAGGGCTGCGTGCCGCACGCCTGCCCCGCGAGTCATGCGCTGCAGCGGTGAGGCGTCAAGCTGAGCTGCTGTTCCTGGGGGAGGCAGGGCTGTCATGCACTGGAAACATTTTCTGTTCTCTTGCAACGACGATTAGTCTACAATGACAGCGATTTTATCACACACTGAGAAACCAAGGTAGGTTTTACACTGGTAAAGTCTTACGAAGAAAAATGCCAAATCCTTCGTAATACGAAGGATTCGGATGCTTCGTAAGGGGCAAATCCTTCGTAGGTACGAAGGATTTGGCAATTTGCTTCGTAAGGTTTTAACTGTGTAGTGCCTTTCTAGTGTTGTCAAATTTCAATGCCTTTGCAAAGGCACAAGAGTGTCCAAAGGCATTCAATGTGAACACTTTTGGGAAGTTTTAATTCATGTGCAAGTGTGCTAATTTTTAGACACAAGACATTGGACAAATGTATTCTCAGAAGCAAATTTTGACAGTGTGACTTTAAAGTCAGTCAAAGTCATTCAAAATTTTGAATCTTCGACAGTGTTTCCTACAATTTTCGTGAACTATTTTACCGTCAGCACAAGCACTGGCTTCAAAGTTTTAGTTCGAGCGCTATGGTCAGTTTGTTATAACGATAAGGAGAAAAAGACCTCTTATGTAATGTAATTACTTTTAACAATCACCTCTATAGTGTTGCAGTGCGCCGGTAGAGCGCTGCTTCCCTAAACTTGAAAAAGGCCTCTGATTATGGAGCGAGATCTTGTTGTATGGGCATGCCCGCCGCTTTGTGCGTTTTTATCGCGAATATCCGAAGAACCTGCTACATAATTTTCCTGCCATTTCACCCTCGGCGCGCCCGCCCGTCTTTTGCGCGACTTCCGCAAGATGGCTATCCGAGTTGTTGCGCGTGTCCGGCCGGCCACCGGCGGCCCTCGGAGCCCGGCCGGCGCCCGCACTGGGCTCCTTTGACGGAAAGCTTTACGGAAAGCTGTGTTCTGGATCTGGTCCGGCATTGTAGGTTGCCCGAGACAAATACCGAAAAGGAAAAAAATATCAACTATCAACAGAGTTGTAAATATAACCAGTATAGTGAGTGCCAAAAAGTAAAATTAAGATGAAATGCGCTCGAGGAGCTCGAGGCACCCGAGCCGCTTCGTTTCCGTGTTCATTGTCACCTTTAACGTGAAACCGTGTCTGACGCTCTGCGATTAGCAAAAGTACGTGTGTTTGCTTTCAGTCACACACTTTCATCAACTGAGAATGCCTTTGCTGGCGTCGAGGTACACGGCGAAGCTGTCTGCGCGCGACCAGACACAGCAGCAGCGGCCGGCCAGCCCTGACCCCCTTTCCCGTCTTCGGCCGCAGCAAGCGCGACGTCTCCACTTTTGGAAGTCACTTTATACTTCCATCATCCCGAAATTTTTAATTCCATGATAATGGAGAAGCTGGTTGGCACTGCCACCACCACCACCACCACCACCACCACCGCGGGCTCCAGCCGGCGAGACAATACCGCGCGCGCCTGCCCCCGGAGCGTAGCCTCGCGCGGGGGTCCGTGTCCGTAAGTCTATTAGGAGGGGAAAAGTGTTTCGTGTCTCTCTCTCCAAACAATGGGAGTCGCGGACGAGGAGGACCCTTCTGTCCTCGCCCGGCTGGAGCTGCTGGAGCTGCTGGAGCAGCCGCCTATGGGCGACCCCCACCACCCACCCCCGCTGGGGGTATTACCTCGCCGTGCGGCGTGGCACGCGCCCAGGAGTCACGGACCTTTTGGGCTCTCGACTCGGGACCCGGGACCTTCTCCTGCCACCCCGCCTCTCCCCACCCCACCACGCCCCGCCCAACGCTTGAGCCCTGCTTCCCGACCTGAACTCCATTTCGCGGGCGGCGAGACTGTTTCACTAATCGGGATGCGCGACTGCTGATTGGAGTGATCAGCCCCCGCCCCGCCCCCCACTTGGCACCCCGTTATAGTTTCTCCGGCACGACGACGGAGAGGGTGTCGATGATGTGCCCGTCGACGTCGGTGGTGGTGCCATCCTGGGTGGCGCGCGGCTCGAGCGGAGCAATATGAGCCCGAACGTGAGCGTGTGCGTAACACTATGAAAAATCTTTAAAGGTTTTACGACGGGAAACTGTTTTTCCATGATAAGGCGTGTTGTAAAATTACAATTCCAAAGAGGTAAAATTACAAACACGATGTGTATCGACTAAATATATCGTAAATTATTCAAGAAATCACAGAAGCGAGTGTGCTGGGCGCAGGCTGTTGGTAACGTTAACGAGGCGCCGCTAGCAGCCACCCATTTATACTACTCCCCCAACCTTGATACTACTATTGGGGCTCGCGCCGACTGAAAACTGCAAGGCCCCCCCTCCCTCCCCCTTGCTTCTCTCTCTTTCCGCCGTTGTCGTTTTATTGCGTCTATTTATGGCTTTTATTTCGGCAGTATTTATCGTGTAATGCGCTATCGGATTTGATGAAGCGCTCTTTTTTTTTGTAACTCCACCACTTCACCTCCTCCTCCTCCTTGGAAACTGTCGGTAAAAGCGGGTTCGCATACTACACACGGAGTCGAGGTGACACGGTCTGTGTCATGGTGGACTCAGCATGCTTTCTATCATCGTGTCGCGTTCCGAAGGAATCAAAAATAGGAGGCGCGACGGGCCGAAACCCTACTATCTCTGCGGCCGCGCTGGCATAGTGGCACTTCCACGGCCTCCACTATACCCCCGCCCGCGGGAGAGAGTTCGTTAAGCGCTTGTCTCCGGGACAACGAAACGACATCATCCGCGCCATTCTCATAACGACGATAGTGAAACTCATCGGGGAGTCCTCCACCGGGGTAATGACGACCGGGCACCGGGCAGGGCAGGGCAGCGGCAAGGTCCATCACATCAGGCATTCAGGCACCCGTCCAGCCCCCCCCCCCCATACTCCGAAGAGCCGGGGCGTAAATTGGTGACTTTATGTCTTCATCAGTCAGCCACGGATGTCGCTCGCGGGGCTGCCTGCCGCCACCACCGCTGCTGCTGCAGCCTCCTGTCAATTTCACCTTTACCCCCTCCTTTCGAACCCGAAGGGGACCCCGTGGCCCCCGCACTTCGTACCCACACAGCAGACCTTTCTTTTGGCACAGAAGGGCAATTGCAAAGATGTGTGTGTGTGTGTGTGTGTGTGTGTGTGTGTGTGTTGTGTTGGCAGCGTTTACTTTGCCTTCGTGTGCGCCTCGCGCCTCTCGTCGAGACAAATGGTGATCGCCCCCCACCAACTCGACGCGCCCTCCTTCACCGGCACCGACGCCTTCTCCAGGAGAGAAACAAAACACAAACAAGCCACACTGCCTACTATGGTGATAGCGACGCGTAGAGCGCCGCGCCCCGTGCGCGAACGATGGTGTCGCCGCATTGCGAGCTAATTTTTCTTCTTCGTAGTGACACCCAAACGGATATATTCCTCTCTCTCGCTCCCCCTCTCTTCCCGCCCCTCCC